CCATACATTCCAGATATCTGGTGGAAACTTGAGGAAGATACTACTTATATGAGATTGGATTCCTTACAGTCACTGGTTGCTTGTGTATGACTAGATTCCAATGAAAGCTGAACTTGTGGATATGGTGTAGTGGTGTTTGGCCGATGAACTGTATGCGCACAAGTTATTTGCATCACATACGTAACATATGTTTTTTATGTATATCTTTAGACAAACATTATAACACAATCAAGGAACTAGCCGATGCTCTTTCCAACAGAGAAGTAGTCGGCGTGCTGATAGACACATACGCTGGCGCAACCCACAGAGAACTCTTCGCCAATCCTTCATTTAGAATTGCGCAGATTATTGACCATAAAAAAGCGTACGGTGTAGTCATTGGCGGAGACTCCATGCGTCTACGTAATTGTTTCTATGGTTACATGCGCTCTCATCGAGCGGAGATTTTCTCGCGGGTGAAAGAATTGGTTAAGCCTATTGAGGTGAGTCTTTCCATTGTCTTGTCTTGATCCTCTCTGCCTTAAACGATCACTTATTAGGAATCCACTCGGTTGTGGATTTTATTGGATCTAAAGTCCTTTTCGGCCTTTAGAAAACTGTTCATTTAGAAGCAAAAAGGCAAAATCCGTTTTTGGATTTAAGAATCCAGATTTGGATTTCGTCAAACAAAACGGACCCTTATTAAGACTTAATCATTAACGACAGTCAAACCCTGTTAATAAGTAATTTGCGACACCTTAGATTCTTCACCAAACAGTCACACCCTGCTTTATGGGCATCCGCTTAATACGGCACGTAGTGCCCGGTGTGGTGGTCTATCTCACTTTCACACTCATGTATGGGGGAATCATTACTCAATCCTTCATTACTTGTAAACTGCACCTTAAGCAGTTTGGCAAAGTCCCCCAACCAGTGTTGTAAATTATCCCTAAAACACTTAAGGGGAGTGGATAATATGATATTTACATTTACATCTTGCATTTACTCCTCATTATTACAGACAGTTTGCTTTGTTCCTGGGGAGAGAAACCCTTACATTTTCCCTTAATTCAACCTGCTTAACGGACACCGCATTAATACGGACGCTTTCTATGGCCCCCTCAGTGTCCGTATTAACGGGATTCGACTGTATAGAGTGTTTTCACTCACGTGGTCAGCATCTATGCAAATTTATTGGAACAAAAGAAAGCGTTTACATAAGAAAAGAACTCAACTCCCATAGGACTGGTTTGGGACACCAACATGGCCGCCGTTTCATTGTTTTGGGACACCAATATGGTCGCCGTGACGTCATGTGAAAACACTCTATAACGTATCTCTTTATTTTCCAGGGATCAGGTGTGTATCATTACCATCATCACTTCTTGCGATCTGCAATCGACTGCAGCGGTTAATGATAAACTCGTGACCCTCTTTGTAGTACTTTATAATGAGAAATGCCTCTGATACTTCATACAGGTTTATCAGTTCACAAAGAAAAGATGATTAAAGAAATGAGGTTGACAGTGAAAGATTTCTGCCAGCATTCGACAAACACTCTAAGTGTTATGAAGGCAAAGTACAAGAAGGAACTTCTCAAACGCGCGAAGCATTCTTCAATGAGAGAAAAGAGGATATTTTCTACATCAACAGTTTCTTCAGCTTTTAAGTCCAAAGAAGTCGTTGACATTTCCGTTATCAATTTAGAAAATAATAAAAACGAAGACTCTAAATGTTAAATGTATCATGTATTAAGAGCCAAACGACATGATTTTGGCATGTTGACTCTTCCAGGTTGCTCTTAGAGTATTTTTCTTATGATTTGGCAGGAGCCAATCAGGAGCCCATCAGGAGCTCCTGGATTTGGTCAATTTATGATACATTATGTAGTTGCGTACCGCTAAGCTACTTGAACCCTGGCTTTGTTGAGGAAAATAAAATTGAAAAATGACCCAGTAACAATATTATCCATTCTGTGGGTTCAGTGAGAGTGAGTATTTGAGGCATTTTGCTATAACGTCACACTTTGCAACAAGGGTTGGGGCATTTTGTAAAAACGTACGCATTTTGGAAGAAAAGCAATTTTTTTTCGCCTTTATTGAATGGTTGATCCAAGGTTATGCGGGAGATTCGATCAAAATTCCTCCATTCCCTCGCCACAATATATATATATATACATTACCGCCAAAAGGGCTTAACATCTCGCAGTCACTATTTTAGCGGAGTACACCCTCCCCGCTCCCAACCTCCATCCCTACGCTAGGGACTGGGAACAAGGTTGTCACGGCACGAGCGCTTGATGTTTGGGTAAAACCTTCATTGACATGTTCCCGTGGCGTTATTCTCTCAAATAAGTAGTCCTACACGGTAGTTTGGACCCAGCAACCTCGTTTTGGATACGACCAACCAGCAGGATTTTAAAACTTTGGACATGGACCATCAGAAGGCGGGACACTGCTGACGTCATTCATCTGATCACATTAGAAGGTGGCGAATGCAAAAAGACGCAAGGATAGTGACGTCACCGGAAGGAAATAATGTGATGGTTGTCACGAGACGACAGCATTGGGAGTATAAGTGAGTATTTATTTTACTTTTAAAATTTAGTATAGATATATGTTTACCACGTTCATGTTTATAACATGTCTATTGTGAAACGATGACTTGAAAATTTTATGTATTTTAGCTGAGGGAGAAAGATTTAACGCGCGTGAAAGTTCTTCGTCTTTGAGAAGCAACTTGATTAACTGTTGTATTCATGTACCATCGAACCACTTCCCGCTTTTCCTTGGACGGGATGTGCCTGTCGCCTTATGTCTCCCTTTCTCGGCGTTTCTTTTTCCCGGCTCTCTTCCTTTCGATTGGGGTTGCCGTCAAAAAACTGGGGTGGCTCCCTCTACCTTTCTGATCACTATCCCCTCCGCGAAAGCATGATGTCGTCGCTTTGCGATTAGAAACTTGAGTATAATAGAAGGTTTGCTGAACGATTCATTGATATCAGTGTGTGTCATAGACGCATGAGAACGCAACGACGAGGACGCAGTGTTGGCCCACCAACTATTGCGGATGCGAAAAACGACGTGCTTTCAGCAAATGCCGCGGGATTTAGCGGGGAGCGGGAATTCGCCACTTTAGAAACGATAAGGTAACTAGAGCCAAAATGCGTCCCGCAATTGCTTCTTGGATCGTTACTGGGGACGCGCCGGTCAGCTATTGGCCAATGTTTTTTTCCCCTGTCCCTAATAACAGCCCCAGACGTCTTTGCGAAAGTTGACTGGGTCCAGTTTCCATCTCGTTTTTACCGTGGCAAATTGATATCGAGGACCGTGGTCGCTGGAACCTGCGGTGAATCGATGAAGCGAGCGCATTGGGCCGAGGACGTGTTTGCGACGAGGGTGCGACATACTGGCACTTTTTTCCCAGAATGGAAACATTCGATGGTTCCGTCTGTTTGGCAAGAATTTCAACAGTTGGGAGTTGAACTTCTATACGCTAAAGAGTTGGCGAGCGTTGGTTGTGAACACGGTTTATTCTTTGGTTTCAGCAACAACTGCGAGAAGTAACCTTCAGGTTACAAAAGCAAATAAAGATAAATCTACGACCCATACCTTACAGAGCATTTATGCTGAACAATTAAGTTAACTACCTTTTACATAGACTGCATTCATATCCCAATAACGGGACGGTTTTCAAGTCATTATATTTCGGAAAACCGAAAAAAAGTAAACCAAGTTTAGTTAAGAAGCTAGAAAAGCTACAAAATTTGAAAACTGGAATCATCCACGACTGCAAACTGATGATGCTCGTTATGAGTGCAAAAGTGTTTGCGGAGGTGAGCTCTGAACGAGGTTGGTCAAGTAAATTAGTACATATTTTCCGATCTCACGGTTGAAAAGACTTTTCCAGCGAAACAATCAGTTTTCTAAGTTGTAAACTTACTTCCAGGCTGATAAGCTTCTAAAAGTCCTCCTTTCCTTAACTAAAACGGTTACATTGGAAAATCCAGAATCCCTCGTTTTCCATGTTTCCAAAATCTGATCTAAACCGCACAACCCCTTGAATTTTAAAACCCAAGATACAATAATAAGAAAAATGGTTAATGCACGAATCCTTCATTAATAATTGATTTTAAAACTAAAATCCGATATCAAGCACATAAACCAGCTTTAGAATTCATTTTAGAAATCTAACACGAACCGGTTTTCATTAACGATTAAGAAATTTTAAGCCATGTTGCCATGTTAGATGATTCAAACATAGTTTTAACCAAACCAAAAGCATAAAGTGGAGTGTGGCGCGAAATGGAAAGCGGGGTGGGGTGGGGGGGAGGGGAGGAGGATGAGAGGAATTAAGGAGAAGAGAGTCGTCTTTCTCCTTAGCCAACCCCCCTGGTTATTTTTGTCTTTGTTTGTTGTTGTAGTTGTTGTTTTTTTTTCTGCTCACCGCGCTTCGCCGTCCCCTTTATCTGACCTCCTGGACCAGGCTATCTAAATAGTAGTGTTATCAACCGAAATCAGAGATGAAACACTGTTAGGGTTCAATATGATAAGTTACAAAAAGCCACTGTAATTGACAACAATTTTTAGGGAGTCATTGAAATATTCGTTAATGACCGCACAATTTAGCTGTCTTGTCAGTCCTTTCCTCTAAAGCGTATAAAGCGAATATATATTACTGGGAAACTCAAAAACACGCAGAAGTATTTTTGAAATGTTATTCAATAACATTTCAAAGACAAGACAATAATTGTCTTGTAAGGAAAAGGCTAACTTGGATGTAAGAGACTCTTCATGCGCGATTTCATGTCTCAATCAAGTCTTTGGCACCCAAGATTGGAAAAAGCCAGTCAGTCGTGAGGAAACAAAACCGTAAACAACAACGGTATATAATCGCTAGTCTCAGTCAAAAAGTGCAGTTCCGGCCACATTTCCCGCAAATCTTCCAAAAAGTGCACCAGCCACACCTCCTATTGCAGCTCCCAAAAATGGGATGGGAATTAGCATTTGCCCGGCGACCATTCCAAAAGTAGACCCTGCTACACCGCCAGTGCCAGTCGCAAGTCTTCTTCCAACAAATCGGTTGTATGTTGCAAAGTCGATTCTTCCTGAGTTCAGATCTCCTTCTACATTTGCAATATCATGTACTATTGACACACCCTCAATAACCGCGGCAACTGCTCCTCCAGCTACTATTCCTCCAACTCCACTTCCTAAATCTGAAGCCGCTGATTGGGCCACTGATTGGCTCCCCCCTGTTCCCAAGATCACGCGTCCCGCTTGTGGCGCACTTCGGGCTGCAAGCTGGGCGGTCGAACCAGCTCCCATGCGCACAAGCTGTCGCCCGCCTGTCCCCATGATCACTCGTCCGGCGTGTGGGGCACTTCGGACTGCAAGCTTTGCTGCCGAACCAGTTCCCGTGCTTACAAGCTGTCGCCCAAGCCCTGTTCTTATGATCACTCGTCCAGAGTGTGATGTACTTTGGGTTGCAAGTTGTGCCACTTTTTCAGCAGCGGGGCTCACAAGCTTTTTTCCGACTTCTTCACCCAGCATCTCAGCAGCTTTGTTAACTTGGTCGGACGATGATATGCCCGTGGCACACCACATGGCAAAGTGTTCACAGTTATTGAAGAAAAGGTGGTAGGCTGACTCCCCAACGCTTTCCTGTGCTCTCAAGAGAGTAGCATGACGATTGAAGTATTCGTGTAGCATCTTGTACACGGCGGTGATTTCACGGAATCGGTAGGGTATTCTTACCACCTGAGCTTTCCTTGGTGTCTTTGGAAAGCTGCTGTTATCCCTCAAAAATCCTCCAACAGAATTGGTATACTCGATTGTCTGGATTTCACCTGATTCTGGAAACACATATTCAACTATAGCGTGATGCCAATAAGAACCGCTGAGCTGGTGAAAGGCGATATGATCTCCGCTTTCAAGATCGTAAATGGAGAATACACGTCTCCTAGGAACTTCATACTTCCTTCCATAACTGTTGTACCTTAAGACGTGGTCATTGTAGGCCATTTTTGAGGTGCCTGTAAATACAAAATCGTCGGGTCTATCATACAGAATAAAGAATTATACGCAGTTATATTTTGCACAATCATGTTTTCATTGCAGATTAATTACTTCATGGATGAACTGTTTTGAAATTTTCTTCAGTGAATTGGCGTAAAATTGGTGTACGTTGCGATCGTCTTAAGTACTTCTAAACTACATCCTATAGCATAAAATCGATTAAAAACTGACTTCGTTCTATAATGTTGCTTCAAAAAAAGAATTACAATCATTTCATGACTGCGGGTAGAAGTAAGGCTGGTTACTCAATGTACCCAGCCTGAAATAATACGCTTCGAAAAGCTGGGTTCCCAAGAATTACTCAGGTCAGTTAACTAGAAACTAAGGGACTTGTCAGAAATTAGCAGGGGGGAGGAGTGGTGGAAACAGAGGGAGGGTCACAACTTTTTGAGACTCAGAAAAGGGAGGGGTCATGAAAAATGGGCCGTTGAAAGGGGGAGCGTCATGCAAATATATGCCCATGATCATGTAGAGGTTCACCCATTGCACAGACGAAAAAGAAAGTTCTTTATATGGTAAAAAAAAACTGAGAGAAATAGGAGAGTCAAGAGATCAGCTGTCATAATCAGAGTCGGACTCTTAATGCTGTCATCTAAAATGTATGTATATAGCATTACAAAGAACAGATTAGAAATATACTTTGAGTTTTCATAATACTGACTCACCCTAGTGTATTGCAAAAACTAGATCTGATAATTTATACAAGAAGGGGAGGGTCATGATATTTTAGGCCAAGCTCAGGGAGAGGGTTAGCATATTTCACTCCCATTGCAGGGATAGGTCACCTCATTTCCGAACCCAAATTTCAAATTCCCACCCCCCTCCCCCCCTGCCAATTTCTGACAAGTCCCTAATCAAGTCGCTCATGATTATGTTCACTATCTTAAGTAAATGTAATCAAACAGATAGCCCTATTAAAAGCAAATGTCTTCTACATTTGCATAACCCAAAGCACTACATTTTCCGTAGAAAAGTGCTAGTCTAGTGCAGTGGCGGAACCAGAGGAGGGGCCCGGGGCCCCCCTTATTTTCAGACCAAACTGAGGCCCGAAGGGCCGAAGAAAAATGTTTTGGAGACCAGAGCCCCCCCCCCCCGTTATTATTTCAGGGTCTGGATTTAACTAGGATTTAACAGATAGCCATGTTTAAGCCAGTCCTCTTCTGCCTTCTTTATTCCCACAGCACTTCTTCAAATTCGCATTCGTGGAAACCATCAACAACATCTTCGACCCGTGTTTGTTGGTGGCTAATACTTTTCTTTAATTTCAAAGGATTCGCTGAATGTTACCCCTTTTGTTTTTAATACTAACCTCAAGAAAAAGACATCAACTTAAAGCATGCCTCATCAGTGGTGAATCAGTAGTGTTTAATTCGGTTGAAAATTTCAGAACTTATCTTACAAAGCTAAAATATCGAAAAAGGCAAAATTTGCTTTCCTACTGATTCCGAGCAACGGAAAATGGCACTTATGTACATGTAACAATCCTTTAAAACCTCTAATTTCATTGGACACGTATACGTCTCAGCTCTTTTGTTTTTAGGGCTGTTTAGTTTGTTGTCTTAGTTGTTTTACCCTGTGAGTTCTTGGAACCCGAAATTGAAAGCGAAACTACTTCCGTTTTTCCCTGGATTTCAAATTCCCAGAAAATCATGCCTCTCATAGCGAGGGGGAGGGGGAAGAAGAAGGAGCTTTGAATGAGGGCCAGGATGCTCTGGAGAATGGCACAGGAATTGTGAAATAAGATTGTTCTGGTTGTTGGGTGTGTAACCTTGATTGATCGCCAAGCGAAGTTTATAAATTTATGGAATTCGGGTCGCATGGGGGATCGATAAAATCGACTGAATCTTGAGGGGTCTGTATTGTTTATCCATTCCCGCACGACGATGTCCGCCAGTTGCCTACCGCGACAATGAATTGCTAAGCTTGGCCGGGGCAAGGCCATTTCCAAATTCTTAAAAAATTGATTTCTCGGGTAAACAAGGTACCTTTTCCTCATTTTGCACGAAAATTCATGATAGCTTCGATCAGTTCTATATCAAGTGCATGAATGTAACAAACTGAATATGCACTGGAATAAACGGAATGCTATTTATTTTACCGTAGAGTACCACGCAGTGACACGCAGGAATTTACCTAATTTCAAATATTCTGGGAACGTCACGTTTTGATTGACGAGTTTGAAAACTTGTTTTGAAGCCTTCGCAAACTGAACGTGGCTTTCGACACGAAACAGGATTGAATTGACAATGAATTGCTTAGCTTGGCCACAAGGCCATTTCCGGATCAAAACTAAATTCTCGAGTAGACAAGGGTTGTTTACCATTTCTAAAAAAAAATTCTAGAAATTTTGGTTGGGATTTTCGTTCGGTAAGAACGGTACGTGTTGTTTACTGTTTGCCTAAAATTTCCGCATTGTGGCGCCGCGCCAGACTGGATTCTAGTTACGACATGAAACTAGTACGAAACTCGACGAAACTCAAGAAACTTGTAAATGGTAAAACGGATTTCCATTCGGAACATCCCAACCGGGAAAATAGGACTACCTTTTCAGAATTTTGTACCGAGAATTTTCCAGTGGGACGAACCAAAAAAAAGTTTACCATGTACATCCCAACAGGAATTTCCGGAAATTTGTGTTAAATGGTAAACAACCAAACTTTTCCGCATTTTGCACGAAACCTCATAATAGCTGCGATATTCTATCAACTACATGAATATATCAAACTGAATATGGAATGTTATTTATTTTATCGTAGAGTACCACGCATGAATTCACTTAATTTCAAATATTCTGGGAAAGGTTACGTTATTGACGAGTTTTAAAGCTTGTTTTCAATCTCTCAGCCTTCGCAAACTGAACGTTGCTTTCCACACGAAATACTGGATTTCTCCTCCGTATTAAATTTCCGTCATTCCACCTGAACGACGGTCAATTATTCTTTAGGGGGACAAAATTTGCCAAAACGTTCAATGGTGTGCCAGTTTTTTCGACTAACTACACGTTCATTTGCAATTACAAAAATCAAGGGCATCTATTCAACGACCACAAATTCGAGGTAAACTCGGTGAAGTTATACGGAGTAAACAAATGGCCCCGTTAAAGCCAGTTCTCTTCTGTTTTCTTAATTTATGCCCACAGCACTTCAAATTTGCATTCGTGGAAACCATCAACAACATCTACGCCCCGAGTTGGTTGGTCGTTAATACTTTTCGTATTTTCAAAGGATTTGCTGAATGTTACCTCTTTTTTTTACTAACTTCAAAAAAGACATTAACTTAAAGCATGCCTCATCGGTGAGTGAGTAGTGTTTGATTTTGAAACTTTCAGAACTTACCTTGCAAAGCTAAAATATGGGGAAAAAAGGCGAATTTTACTTTCCTCCTGATTCTGAGCAACGGAAAATCGCACTTTTATACATGTAGCAGCCCTTCAAAACTTCATATTTCATTGGACACCTATATGTCACGGCTGTTTTGTTTTTAGGGCTGTTTTTCCACGATGCTCTGGAGACACGGGAATTGATAAATAAAGATTGTTCTTCTGGTTGTTGGGTATGTAACCTTGATGGATTGTCAAGTGAAGTTTATAAATTTGTGGAATTCGAGTCGCACGGGGATCGATAAAATCGGTTGAATCTCGAGGGGTCGTTATAGTTTATACATTAGAGAGTTTAAGTAACGACGACGGCGACCGGGCTATATACAAAAACGTCACTTAAAAAATGAAGTCGCGCTGCCTCAAACTTAATCGCGCTTATTCCAACTCGGTTCAATTCGTCAAATGACGGCAAATTTCTTTGGAGCTGAATTCTAAAGGATTGTATTGAGGTTCAGGAAAAGAAAATCAAAGTTGTTGTCTTGTGTTCCGTGGCCTCGACAAAACGTGAAATCAGGCCGCTTTCAAGCTGTAGTCGTGCAACGACGGCAAAGAAATGCACAAAAAAGCTTGATGCACGTACAAAGTTGTTGTTTTTCTAATCTAAACCTATTGGTTTTTTGCCGTGCTCGTTGCCGTCGCCGTCGTCGTTGTATAAGCTCCCTAATGCCGTGCGACGGTGTCCGCCAGTTGCCTACCATGACAATGAATTGCTTAGCCCTTTCCCAGAACTTGGCCGGGACAAGACCGTTCCCGGATCCAAACTTAATTCTCGAGTAAACAAGGTAACTTTTCCGCATTTTGCCAAAATTTTATAACAGCTGCGATATTACATAACAAACTCAATCTGCAATGGAATAAACGCAATGCTATTTATTTTACCGTAGAGTTCCATGCAGTGACACGCAGGAATTCGCTTGATTTCAAATATTCTGGGAAACGTTACGTGTTGACGAGTTTTAAAACTTGCTTTCAAACTCAGTCTTCGCAAACCGGACGTGGCTTTCCACACGAAACAAGAATTCTCCTCCGTATTAAATTTCCGTCATTCCACCTGAACGACTCTCAATTATTACTAGTGGGACAAAATTTGCAAAAACGTTCAATGGTGTGCCAGTTTTGTTCCTCTTTTGACCGACTACGTGTTCATTTTCGATTACGAAAATCAAGGGCATCTATTCAAGGGCCACAAATTCGAGGTAGACTTGGTGATGTTATACAAAGTAAATGCATATGAACATCTACTGAAAAATGTTAATGGCTATGGGTAGACGTACCCAACTGAAAGATTTGTCAAGTTATTTAAAGCAAACTTAATCAAAGTAAATAGAATTAAAACAGATAGCCCTATTAAACCCAGTCTTCTTCTGCTTTCTTTATGCCCACCGCACTTTAAATAACCATCAACAACATCTACAACCCGAGTTGGTTGGTCGCTAATACTTTTCTTATTTGTAAAGGATTTGCTGAATGTTACCCCTTTTGTTTTACTAACCTTAAAATAGACATTAAGTAAAAAGCATGCCTCATCGGTGAATGAGTAGTGTTTGATTTTGAAACTTTCAAAACT